GCCGCGAAGCCTGAGTAGCAATAATTGGGGAGCTGCTGGGCTCTGCTCCTTCTTGGTGGGGGGGCGGGGGGCGCGAGCCTCCAGTGAGTGCACAGCAAAGCAGTGCCGGACCTCTGTTTTCAAGCGGGGACCGAGCAAGTGAGCACCGTTCTCCCCGCCTGAACGGGAGATCTCTCTAAATCTGTGGCCAAGCATGCCTGATCCCCCAACCACGAGCCCTGGGGGCGCTCCTAACAGGCGTTGTGGTCACTGAAAGCAGGCAAGGGCTTCAAGCACCTACTGCAAAGACACAGAAAAGCTCCCCCAGATCCCCCCTGGCTGCATCAGGTGGTGGCCAAGCTGTAGTCTCTTTCCTCCCATGCAATGTCAAAGACCTGCTCCCAGCCCTGGGCTGCTGCTTGCTGAAGCAGATCCCCCTCCCTGCACCCCTGCACCGAAACTGCCCTGGGGAGCTCCAGCCCGGGGGAAGGGGAGGAAGTGCCGCGGCGGGCAGCGGTGAAGCTGCAAACAGCCTCGTGGGGCACGAGGGCAAGCTCAAGCCCTGCTCCCCGTGGGCTGCGGGTTACCAACCCCTGCCCACCGCCTCTCCCCAGAGAGGGAGGGGAGGGAGGGAAGCATGCAGCAGCCAGCTCACAGCCTGGAAGTGACTCTGCTCTCAATCAGGAATTGAGAGCAGCTGGGGGACTTCCACCATGCCCTCTCCCTGCTCACGGGAGCGGAGAAATCATTGCGGCAAGGCCCCGGGTGATGGGGGGGATGAGTTTCAGGATTGCAGGGGCAGGATCTGAGCTGGAAATGACCCCCCAGAGGGTGGAATCAGCTCCTCCGTGATCAGGGAAGGTCAGGGGAAAATGCATTTCTTGGGTCAAAAGGCAGAGGGACAGGATCAGGAAAGAACTCTTTATTTCCCATAAATACAGCAGATTCTTCGCGCCGGGCGTTTCGTTTTAAATCTTTTTGTTTGTTTTCTTCCATTTACAGAATTTTGCACTGAAAATATATACAAGTCTGTTCAAGAACCAAACAAGATCTGCAAAGAAAAAACCCATAGAAAACCCTGAAAAGAGACCAGAAAGGGAAGTAAGACACAGAACCCCAGCATGAACACCTTGCTTCCCCCTCTCCTCTACCACCCACTGCGCCCAGCTCCAACACCTCACCTTCACTGCCCCCAAGCCAAGAGCACACGGCACCCCGCTTGCCTCCATCTCGCAAAGGGCTCCTTCTACTTCTGGCAAGCCAATGCAGGGGGCAGCTTGCCCCTGCTTTTAGGATCAGGCCCTGTCAAAACCAGCTTAGGGATGGGAAGCGGCTCCCGTGGTCGGGATGGGGATCGCTCGGGACGGTGCCACCCCCTGGTCTCCTCCGTGCCTGCAGATCCCCGCTCTTGTGTCACAGTGAT